TAATATTTATACGGGTTGGATAGACATGGTAACAATTCGGTCGAATCATAAACCGAATCGAAATCGAACCATTAAAAAAACCAAACCGGAATCGTTAAAATCGTAACCTTAACCAAATCGGATCGTAACCGGCTACTTACAGAGTTGGTTATGGTTTAAGGTATCATGAAATCGGAACCAACAATTAACCATAGAACTGACGGTTCCACATCTCTCCTAATAAATTTGGGTTGGGTCAAAAAAATGAAAAAATTTAAATAAAAAAACCAATTTTATATGGGCTGGACAAGTAGCTATTGGATTGAAAAATGAACAAAAAATTAAGCCTAATAATTTTTAATTTTTGGGCTTAATATATTAATAGATGCATATATATATATGTGTGTGTGTGTGTGACAAACGGTCACAAATGTGACCTTTTTTTTTTTCCTATAAATACACTCTCAATTTTTTCATTCTCCTCACAACTCAATCTCTCATTCTCTCTCAATCTCTTAAACTCTTAAGTCTAGAATTCTAAATACTGTCTTACAATATTTTTTATTCTCCAAATACTTCTTAAATTTTTTACATTTTTATTGTTTTATTTTACAAAAAATGACAAGTTCAAGTTCACATATGTCATCACAACAAAGTAATACTATCAATCAAAATCGGGTATGGGTAATTTGAAATGTAAAAGAGAACTACGTAAGTTTTGATTCCTCTAAACCTCAAGAGAATACGTAGGAAGCTTAATTTTTGTAGTGTTCAAAAAAGTTAAATTCAAGCCCTTTTTTATTTATTTCTTTTTTTCCTTTGATTTATTGTGCGAAATACATTACAATGTAAAAAATATTATAATATTTATACATTATGCAAAAAAAAAAGTTTTTTCGTTTCAATGTTAATGTTTGATTTATACTTGAGAAAAAATATTCGATTTTTTTTATTTTTTCATTTAATAAAAAAAGTCATTGAACCGTGAGTTCCAAACAGTTTGAAACCGTCGGTTTTACGATTCTAAACCGGAACTATAACCATCCATAGAAGGTTTGGTTCGGGTTTCACTATTTGGTGGAATCTTAACCGACGGTTCAAGAACCGTTATCATGTCTAGGGTTGGATATAGCTGGTTGATTTAATTTTTTCAAATAATACAGATATCCTCGGATGTGCATATGAGAAGGATTGAGCCACTTTTTTTAAGCCTAATAAATAATCCCAACTAATAATTAATGCCTGTAACGTCCAAAACTAATGACACTTGATCTGAAACAAAAAAAAATTAATATAGCACGTAGCCCATAAAAAATATATATATCAAGACATCCATGGTATATTGTTCAATGTTCACAGCATGTAGTGAAAAAAAGAAAAAGAAAAAGGAACAATGCTTCATAGTCACGATTCATGTCAGGAGTAAATTAGTCTTTTTATTTTCAAAAAGCAAATTAATTAATCATAATTAATGTCAGTAGTAAATTATAACCGATCATGTTTAATTTAATATTATTTTATGTCATAAAATTTTATTTTTAATCAAAATTCTTCTATATTATTTATTTATTTATTTATCTATTTTTAAATAAAAAAATCAAACTATATTGAAAAAGAGTAAAAACAATTAAGTTTCAAGAAAAACTTAAAAATATAAGTATTAAATAATTAATTTTTTTAAAAAATAATTAATTCATTTCTCAAAAGTAGAAGGATTAATTTATAATTTACTTTTCATGTCTTGTAGTCCAGAAAGCAACAATCTTCAAAAACAGCATACCAAATAGCATCATTGACAGCAAAATCCTAACCAAAAAAAAAGATTGAATATTTCTATTCGGATTATAAGAAGAAAATAAGGGATATTAAAAAATAATATCTAATTTGGATTATTAAAAAAATAACATTTAATTCTGTCCACATGTAATTCAAATCAATTTTAACAAAAAAATAAAATTCAATTCAGATTAATAAAAAAGAATTAACATTCCGAGAAAAAAATGAGTTAAGTTGTAAACAATTTTGCGATAAAATTTAAAAGAGAGAGCAGAAATAGAATAAGAATAAATATATCCATATGTTTTTATATAATACTTAAAATCTTTCATATATTTCTAGGATTTTAATTATTTTTTTATAAGTATTTAAAGTGTTCAATTTATCATTTTGATCAATTTTTTTTAACTAAATAATTTTTTTGACAAAAATGTTCTAGATTGAAATGCAATAAAATAAAACAAAATTTTAAGGATTTTAAAAATAAAATATACAGATCTTGTGACTTTAAGTGTTTTTATTTTTTTCTCATTTTAGTGAAGGATATTTTGATTATTTTTTATTAAAAAATTTAATAAAAAAATATATTAAACATTTTAAATTTTTTAAAAAACAGATGAAATCTAATTAAAAATTTAAAGACTTGTGACATACTTTAACTATTATACAAAGATATGTAGATATATTTATCAATATAATAATATACTTAGTTACTTACCAGTTTTATGGTGAAAAAAATTGAAGAAAAGGATATAGCGGGTAGCGCCCTAATCTAAGCCTATTTTTGGTGCTGTGAAAGGGACGCGGGGAGAGAGAGAGAGAGAGAGTTAAGAATGACAGATGAGCGATGGAGGCCAGGGCGTCCCGTCTCTTATTAATTAGTGGGAGCTTAAAATTAAAGGATCATGCGATTTTAAATGCCTGAATTTATCTGATTTTTACAATTAAATATTTGATCTTTAATTTTATTCAAATAAATATTCGATCTTCTTATTTTGCTTAATAAAGTATGTAAATGAAAGTGCATTAGTCAAATATAGATGTATATATGCCTCAAGTAATGATATGAACCCTCGTACATAGGATATCATTTACGACTAAAATCATTAATGAGATGCTACATGGGCAAGTAAATGAGAGAAAAAATTCCCTTCAAAATATAATTAAAAATTTTAAAATAATAATTATTAAATATATATATAAATCAGAAAAACCATATATATATATATAGTCTATGGTTCTATAATATTATAATTATAATAGTAACAATAATAAAAAAAAGAACAAGCCAACATTGTCTAAGTTTATTTATTTAATGTATTAACAGGTTTGTATTGTGATATGAAAACAAAATACAACATAATTTAATACCATCATGCAACGCTTAGATAAGCGGATAAGATTTTGCACTACTACTACTACTAATAATAATACTAATAAATTAAATTAGTTTTTGTTTTAAGTTTTTATGTATATAATTTTTTTTTATATCTATATTCGTTTTGTGTATCGGATTGAATAACCAAGAAGTGGTTTAAATTTTTGAGATAGGGATATTTTGAGAATCAAAAAATAATTAGTAGTAATAAAGAATAATTAAAAGGGAGTTTCAGGCAACTAAAAATAAAATTGTTAATTTCATTGGTGGGTGCAAATGTGCAATGTACGATTACCATATTTAATTGTTGGAGTGAATCCGGTATTATTGCAATTGGATTCCTCCACGTGAACCTGATCCATAATAATCTCTATTAGCATTCAATTAATTTTGCAGTGGTGAACTCATTGGCCAATCCCTAACTTCTTCGAGGACCGAGTAAGTAATGTCAAAACAGAACACACCTCTCTCTCTCTCTCTCTCTAGTCTCCTCCTCATTTTATTAGCGGAAACTTATGGAAGGACAAAGGTTAGTACCCCAAAAAGCTGTACTTGGTGCAGCAAAAATTGGGTGGAGCAAGAAAATAAAGAATTACAAGAGAAGGAGAAGGGTTTTCTTGGAGTGATTGAGCAAACCCTAGCTAATAAAAAATTCTCTTGGTTTGGATACAAAACTTGATGTGTGGTGTTTGCATCTGTGCTTTCAGATCTGAGTTATGACCTCACGGGGTACTTAATTTTGGTAGTTTAATTTTCCTAGTTCAGAAAATTAAAGAGGGATACGAGAGAAGACTGACAGAAGAGAGTGAGCACACACCAAAGCAGATTGTATGAAGGCATACCATTGCAGGGTGTGTGCTCACTTCTCTTCTGTCAGTTCCCATTTCCAAGTGTTTCCTCATGCACTACCCATTAAACCTTCTTCTTTCAGTTTTCTTTTCAAGGGAAAAAAGAATCTTTCCTAGTATTTTTCTTTTCTCCAATTGTAACATTGTAACTGATGCTTCTTATCTTCTAGAACTATGTGTTTCTTCTCTCTCTTTGTCTGCAGCTTTCTTTATCACCACATACGCTTGTGTCTTTCTCTTTATGTATGGTTGAAATTGAAAGGGCAGCCGAAGAGCTACTGCCCAAGTGCAAGCTTGACACATCATCATTCTCATCCACAAAAATCTGCTCTACATGACAAATCTTTCTTTCCTTTCCAGCAATGAAATTATTTTATAGTGGCTGATAGACTTTTCAAAATGGAATGAATGTTTTGGTGGGTTCATTTCATATCATGAGAAGGTTATAGCTTCTTTTTCGGTTTGTGAAAAGAATTTTCCTTGTCAAATTTCATCCACTAGTGTAAGTTTATTTTTTTATATGCTTCAAAATATATATATATATAAATAAAATATAGCGTGGCTTTTCATGGTCCTCTTTTTGGAAGGAGGACGATTTGTGCTCTTTGAAGTACGCCTGTTTCCTGTTCAAAATTTAACGGAAAACTGTATTCTGGAATCTGAAAATGAGCTCCCAATATTATATTTTACTAGCTTCTAATTCATCAAAACTCTTCTGCTCTTTTTGCCTCTCTGATCTTTCTTGTTTTTCTGGGAGGCCATGCAAGGTTAAGGAAGGAGTACTAAAGGGAATGTTTGGCTACTATTGTCTCTTAATCTGGTTCTGATTATTATTTTTCTTTTGTGACTTTCTAATCAGTCTTTTATGTTTTACCTATGTTTAACCTAACTAATTAATGCAGTTTTTACACACTTTAATTTTGGTATCCTGGACTTGGGGTTTTTGGTACCTAGAATTTGTTCTTGCGCAGTAGGAGATTTTATGTTTTACTGATGTTTAAACTAACTAATTAATGCAGTTCTTACACACATTAATTTGGGTATCCTGGACTTGGGGTTTTGGTACCTAGAACTTGTGCTTGCGCAGTCAGAGAAAAGGGACCGTCCTGAAAATGAGCCAGTTAAGGGTGCCAAATATGGGAATGTGTTTTTGTTTCCTCTTCTGGGCAGATATGCACTATTTTGCTGCAATAAGGTAAGTAATTTATCAATGGAAATTTCTTTGTTTTTATTTGTTGAAAGTCAAGGGAATTTCCATGTTCCAGTTTAGTAATTAATTTTGCCAGCTGATTTTTCTCGATCTTTATTTTTTTTCCTTTTATGAAGATCTTTCTTATTTGCCAAGGTCTGTGTTTTTATTATTTGAAGTAGTAAATCACCCTTTGTTGTTTTTATATCACTTGTTGTTTGTTTGGTTTTAGGGGGGCAACGGGCGGCTTCTGTTTCCTGCAGTCAGGTAACATTAATTCCTTTTCTCTTAACATGTTAGTTTTTGCTTTCTTGATGTACTTAGCACTTTTTTCTTCTGATTTTATGTGTTTTTCTCAGTAATTTTTTGCTAGATTTGTGAAATAATCTGTCTCTATTTGCTTCTACTGGGGTTTTTGGGGTTCTTTGATTGCACATCAGTTACTCCAAAGGAATTAAGATATGTGAGCCATTATAGTAGGGTTAAGAAATTGTTTCAGCATAAAAATTAATAGCAAAGAGGGTTCCTCTTTAATCTAAATCCGTTATGTGTTAGTGACCATTCATGAAGGCAGTTCCACTAATTTCTAAATGAAGTAGTGTTATTAATAATTTTATGCTTCTTAATGACTAATTTGTAATCTACTTCCTGAGTAGTAAATATGCATTCCTGGTTTTTTGTTTGTGGATCACAGACTTTAGTCCTTATCATCGTGATTCTTTAAGATCTGATATTATTCTATAGTTTGGCTGTCTATATTTGAATTTTTTTTTCCGTAACAGTCAGCCTTACAGATTTTGTTGTTCCTTTCAGTCCACTCGTGAAAGGAACTGAGTTGTGTCAAGTGCTCTTCAAGATTCCTTTCTATAGGATTCTTGACTAGACCTTGTCCTTGAACAGATGCTGTATTGCATGACTGGACTTTATTTATTTCCTTTTGAAGTCCTTCCATATATACAGTGTAGCAAGACGTCGAATTTGACCCTTATTCGATGATAGAGATCAACTTAAAATAAAGAACCCAAATAATGTTAAGACTAGTCCTGCTTTTTTGGGCCTAGCATCCAATTATTTGTCTCGCAATGGAGTTGTGTGGGCGTCATCAACCTATCCTACAATTTAGAAGGACAGCACAGCATGAATAACGATGTTACTGTTTTGTTTTGGGCTAGCATTTGATAGGGTAAAGGAACATAGGTACAGAATTTTAGGTTTAGCAGTGTACTTCACTATCGTGTTGTTTGATCTTATTTGCCACTGATCTGATGCCATTTTTAAAAGATTGGTTTTTGGTGTTAGTCTATCACAATATCAAACCAAATTCATATGTACAATACCATGTATGATGTTGAACCAGTGTGTGCAAGCCAGGTTGTTTACGAAAACAAACAGCTTTGACTGGCTCTTCCAATTAAGAACTTCAGTGTAAAATACAGTGCTATGGTGGAGCTTAGGTCAATGATCTCTATGTATGAACATTCTACCAGAATTTTTTTCTCATATCAAATTTCTTCGTTAGATTTTGAAGAGAAAATTTAGTCTCATTTTATAGCATCCTAAACATATAAACAAGAGTGTGCATTTGTTGATTGATGTTTTGTAAGATATGCTGGCATAAATGAGGAAGAAATCAATGCGAACATTTTTAAATTGTGATAATTGTTGATGTAACAAAAAGAAAAAAAAGATTTTTTGTTATAAACATGGAAATTTTAGAAGAAAAAATGACCTCCAATGCTAGGAAACAAAACATCTTTATGACCTTAGGTTACACCATGTGAAAGAAAACTTTTTTTTTTTTTCTCAATAAAAGTTTTCCGAATCATGTTGAGTTTCCTGTTAAAATTAAATTTTAACTGAGTCTAGTAGTTCATGTATAAGGGACTTATGCTTGTTTTACTTTGTACATGCACTTTCCTCCTTGTGTTGAGGTTTTCTACAGTGCTGTGTCAAAGAGCTATCCATTCCATGGTTGATTTGTTTGATTTTACCAAATTTCTTGCAATCAGCACTTATGTTTTGTTCACCTTTTTGGTCATGAATTCCAAGTTGAGTAAAGAAGCATAATTTATTTAGTTTCTATCACTATGCAAGCATAATTTACTTTGTACTAATTGTGGATTGAGTTTTCTGTAACTTAGAAGAACTGTTAATTTGCCCTAATTACATCATTAGATATCATCTATGAAGAATTATGTCTCATCCTATATATTTTTTTTAGTTTATTGGGTTTGTTGAGTAGCTAGAATTTTAATCAAATAACACTATCTGAAGTTAAATCAGATTCATAATCAGGTTTCAGGTTGCTGATGGATACCCTTGGGTGTATTTGATTGCATTGCATTGATTCTACGTAACGTTGCATTGATCGTATGCATAATCAGTTGAATTTGTTATACTTCAAGCTGAGTTGTGCAATTAGGCAAAATTCTTTAAAGAATTGTCATTTTATTCATGTTGACGTTGGGACCTAATTTCTACGTCGTTTTAGGCTATAACAGAAGGGGTAATAGACCAACTTAAAACATTTCTTCCGCTAAGTGTCAAACTTCAGATTGTATAGCATTTCCATTGCATAAGAACAAAACTTGAATTGGATCTAGGAAATGATTGTTTGAGCTTGCTCATGGGAATTTTCAGGATCTTCTTAATGAAGAATTTTCTTAATCAAAACTGGCCATGCTACAAGCTGGCATAGAAGAGAGTAGAGAGAATTGGAGAACTTACTGCTAGATAGAACAAAGATTCATATTTGTGATACTTTTATGCATAAAAGCATATAAAATAGTACGTCGGATTGAAATCTAGATTTATGACTGATGGGATTAAGCTTTGCCTCCTCCCCTCTATAACACAACGTTGTTACTTCTTTGTTTGATCAGATCACTGTTTCCCAGAAATACATTTACTTAATAATTTTTCAATGAAGAAAGCATCTCTTGGATATGTGTCCATTACTATTGTACATATTTACAAGTTTCTTTATCAGAGAACGAGGAGAGGGTTATTAGAGTAGTGACTGACTAGGGCAACAATGTATATTTGTACTGCTGTACTATTATGAGATAGTCATTGTAGCTCAGTAGAATGAAAAATGTGGAGTCGGTGCATCAAAAAATGTGCATTTGGTGATTTTGTCTAAGCTGGTCTATCATGTTTTTAACATGATCGTGGTAGTTGAAGAGATTATCATTTCTTTTGTCCTCAATGGGGTGGAGAATAGAGGATCAAAATGAGGTTGAGATGATCGGAGAAATTTTTTTGTCTTGATGTATATTGCCAGAAATTGGTAATTATTTTTCCTATGCCTTTGAATGTTTTAATGCTGCAAGAAAGCTACCTTTTCAGGATATTGATGATCAGTATTTACCCTAACCTCACTTAGATTTTGCTAGACTCCTTTCAATTAGACCATAATACTAGCTGACTTACATCTTTTTTTTTTTGGTTTGCAATTTGCATTAGCTCCCCAAGATCACTCGTTGGTAATTTCCTGGTGGGATATACAGACACCTTCAACTTCTTCCTTTTACTGTTATATCTATTGATGCCTTTGGGTGGTTTATATGAGCTATTGAACGTAGTCAAAGTACGCATACCTTTTAACTGAACTAAGACAATGTTTTGCCTAGCAACTGTAAAATACATAGAATATTTAAGGGTAGTTTTTTGAATTTATTTTCACTGATCTTGAGCTGATTCATTGTTGAATTAAACTCTTAACAGTCTTTGTTTGCCGATATGAATTTGTAATAATTTAAAATTGTACAGTAATAACAGCAACAACAACAACAACGTACCAAGCCTCATTCCAAACTAAATGTAGAGGAATAAAAGTTCTAAAGTTTTAGATGAATATTTTTTCAATATATTGTGATTGTTGACATTATTGTCTCTGATATTGAGCTGATTTCATCATGGAAACCATAACATACTGTTGTTGGAGATCTGTAAGAAATTGGATTTAGAATTATCTAACTTTTTAGGCATAGATAATTTAGGGAACAAGGTGCCATGCATAACCTTCTTCTTGCTGTTAAAATGAAATGTATAGTCTTTTGTTTTCTATTTTGCCTTGATTATTTCATGTGTTAAAGCATGCTAATTGGATGAAGTTTGTTGTCTTCTGTTATGTGATTAGTTTAGACGAGACAAAAATGGAAATTTGATTTTTTTTTTCTTTAAGATATGCCCCTAATGAATCACGTTCGTAGGAGACTCCAAGACCACTTTATGCTGATGCACTTGTACATTTATATTTGTAAACTGTTATAGTTTTATCAAACTTGGCTTGCTAAAAAGAAACAAGGATTGACTTGTGTTCATTTTTCTGAATGAAACTCTTGTTCTGAGGGCTAACTTCTCTTGCACTTCACTAACCTTCAACTGTGACGAGTTTTCGCTCAGGAATTCCATGGAAGGAGAAACTGTGAGCTTGATCTCAAATGGAGAGACATCTGCAATTGAAGAACTGTCAGATTCAAATAGCAGCACTCATCCATTTCCACCTAGTAAGCGTGCAAGGTCTGGCAGTAATGTCAGCGCTTCAAAATTCAAAGGTGTTGTGCCACAGCCAAATGGTCACTGGGGTTGTCAAATATATGCCAACCACCAACGGATTTGGCTTGGAACCTTTAAATCTGAAAAGGAGGCAGCTATGGCCTATGATAGTGCAGCAGTAAAGCTCCGGAGTGGCGATTCCCGGAGAAATTTCCCAGTAACTGACATAACGGTCGATGAACCAAAATTTCAAAGTTATTACAGCACTGAACTCGTGCTTAACATGATAAAGGATGGTAGCTACCAATCCAAGTTTGCTGATTTTATAAGGACATGCTCCCAAAGTGTTGAAACTGATCTCAGCCTCAAGCTTATGATGCCACAAAGTAGTAGAGGACTAACATATAAGCAACTGTTTCAAAAGGAGCTAACACCAAGTGACGTTGGTAAACTAAATAGGCTTGTCATCCCTAAGAAGTACGCTATTAAGTACTTCCCACATATTTCTGAAAGCGCAGAAGAAGATGAGGCAGCTGACAAAATGAACGACTTGATGCTACCCTTCTATGACAAGTCAATGAAGTTGTGGAAATTTCGCTATTGTTATTGGAAGAGCAGTCAGAGTTATGTCTTCACAAGGGGTTGGAATCGATTCGTGAAGGAGAAAAAATTGAAGGCAAATGACACTATTGCTTTCTGCTTATGCGAGAGTGGAGAAACAGTAGATTCTGCTGCTCAAACATTCCACATGATTGACGTAAGCAACCGTGACAACAGCAGTAGCCATGCACCTAAAGTTGAGGTACAGATTCGCCTAGGCCCAGGCCTCGCCGGCGACAGTACTGTCAATAAGAACGTTGAAGAAGAGAGAATGATGGGAGCTAATAAGCCAACACATACTGAAAAAACAGGCTTTAAACTCTTTGGCATACAAATTATCTGAAATGGCATGTTTTCTTAGCCTTTTAAGTGTGTTATTAAGTACATGCTGATGGCTCAGCTTTTTATTTGGGCTATTTTAATTACTAGAAATTACCTTTAATTGTATGGAACTTCTAATTGGCAGCTTAGATGGATGCTAAAATTTTCGGCCAAAATTTTTGTGCATGGCCAAATTATTAACGAAAGGAGCTATTGCTATTATAATTTAGAAGCAGGGAAGGGAGCAACCTGTCTAGTTCCTCTTCTATAACCCCATAATGCTAAAGGTACGATGTTTGTCATTTTCAGTTCCATTGTATGCTTCATCAAACTACAAGGTCATTGCATTGTTTGGTCCTTCTTGTCCTACAAACTTGGGGCAACTGGTCTACCTGAGCTAGTTGAAGCACAACAACAATATATATTAGTAGTATTCACGAACACAAAGAAGCAAACACCAACTTTTTCCTGTTTATAAATAAAATCTTCAAATTGATGTCATCTTTCGCATCTTAGGGTTCGTTTGTTATCTACGTAATCTGTAGTATTCGATCCTTGTTGTATTTGCTTTGTAGAGTTCTAGTGTACAGTTTCATCATCAACTTAAAGAGAGATTTTACTCAATAATAATAATAATAAAGAAATAAAGGGCTGGGATGTATCTCCTTATGACGTTTCTTTTCTTTTCTTTTCTTTTGGATCTGGTATCCACATCTAAAACATCATATTAATCTGTTGTTGTTCTATCAAATGTATGAGAAGAAAAGTACAATTTAAAAAGTTTTAAATGTGAGATTATTTTTTTAAATGATTAGAATCATTCTACTCAAACCAATTTTTGGGATTCTTATAATGTTCCTTTTATTCATCGGGAATTCATTCTTTTAGCAATTTATCAACGTAGTGGTCAAAACCCATCTGCTTCATGGATCGACCTGGAAACCCGACAACTTGGATTTTAGTTCGGATTGGGTTTATAAATTTGCACTTTAGAAACTCAAATATAAATCATGATGGGTGGAGCCCATTCATTATCCAATTGTAAGCCCAACCCAAGTAATCTAGCCTCTGAATGATATTGGCCCACTTTATGGCAAAACCCACAGATAAGGAAGCTTGAAGCTGTGCAGCAAACCGTGCAACTCTGCAGCATCTCTCATCTTGATTTACAAAGGTTGAACCGTCTTCCACCATAGAGAAAAGTGGGCCCCGCGAGTCAAATCTAGAAGCAGGTATGGATGAGCTTACTTTGTCCTGCACAAATCACACTTTTATCTTCTCCAATTGTTAATTACTGGGTTAATCTATTATAAGGTTAAAAATATCTCTTTATTGCTTCAAATATCTTAATCGTATTTTTTTATTAAATTTTTTAATCATTGTGTATCTTTTTATTCTTAATTGTGTCTATATTTTATCTCTTTAATCACTTTTTCAGACAATGAAGATAAAAATAACAAAACAAAAAATGTCAAAAATCATTTTCGTTTTCCTGAAAAAGTAATCGAAAAAATCAAATACAGATGCCATTAAAAATAGAGGGACACAAAAATTTAAAATTTTAATATAAAGACATAATTAAGACATTTGAAATAATATAAAGACATTAAATCTTTAACCCGTTAATTATTGTCCTCAAATTTTACTAATTGTTTTGGAAAACCATCAACTTCAAATCAAAACGAGGGATTATACAAGAAACTGGTTACAACAACAACGAGAATAAGCAATGGTTCCCACCGCAGTTTAATCAAGAATCGTGACACCAACAATGATTTGTCAAGTTTTGTCTTCTTTAACAATAATTAAAGCTTGTGATTAGATTGAAAATTCGGTCATAACTCTTGTAAGTTATACAAGACCATGAATAATTATGGGGTTCTACATTATTACAAATGGCACTGATGAATTTGGAAGTCATTTGTTGGACAAATATTCATCGTCCTTTACCAACTTCCCAAGGCCCACACCGCTATAATGCTTCTAAATTAATCAAAATTAATAATGATTTATCAAAGAACGAATATTTAATCACCAACCTGTCTGAGTCCAAAATACCTCCCCCAGATAGATGCCAAGGAATGGAAACATTGTCATTTGTCATTTTTTTTTATTCTGAAAATATCTTAAATTTAAAAATTTATATTAATTTTTTATTATTTATTTTGACGTATAAAATAAAAATAATTATTTAAAAAGTTTTTATGTTTTTAAAAATTTAAATTCGAGACTATTTGATTTAATGATTAGAGTTTCTTATATTCAAACTAAAACTCTTAAATTTTTTATTTTTATTTTTTTTTATAATGTTAGTTTGTGATTTTATTTATTTCGTGTTTTAATTTTTTTCTTTTCGTATATGGTTTTATTGTTTGTTATAATATGCATGAATCATTATGAGTGTCGTGTACATTAGTACAAGGTACACTTAATTAATGTAAGCTTATTTCTTGTTTCAAAATTTAGATTGTTAATTAAATAGCTTTGTGTATTATTAGTGTTGTTAATTTATTTTTCTTGGACAGTCTGACTTTAGTAATATCTTGCATGCGACTTTATAGTAGTACTTTTTTTTTATTATTATTTATGTGAGAGAAATTAAATTGGTCACCAAGAATGTAATAAGATTTTCTAAGGGAATCCAAGAGTTAACACTTTGGATTTGAATTTTCATTAGAAATCTTATTTTTAAACTCAGAAGAGGTAAGAGTGTGGATTTAGGATTATAAAAAGATGACTGTGACAGCTCAAAATTCATTGAACTTTTTATTTAAAATCCACAAAGCGATGTAAGAGTGCAATCAATCTAATCAAAGATAAAGCAATCTCGCCGCTTTTTCGTACTTACTCACTCAGAAAGTAATCAACGCTCAACGAGGAATGTTATGCTCACCCAATCCATAATTGAAGACCATCTCCATCACCTCCTGCTAACTCAAAAGGCCCATGGTACGCAAAGGAAATGACCAGATACACAACCCTAAAAATTACTGAAAATTTTTATAATATTTAAAAAAAATTAATAATTGATATAATAGTTATTTTATAAATTTATTTTAAAGAACAAAATAGATATAAAAAATAAAAAAAAATAAGAGAGAGAAAATTAAAAAAAACTAAACAAACGTAAAAATCTTTATCACTTTTTATAAATCCAAATATAATTCTTTTTCTTTAAAATAAAATATTAAATAACTACTATATATATCATTAGTTATTTTTAAAATATTATAAAATTTCTTTGAAGCTATCTATATATCAAGGAAATTAAGCTATCTATGCATCAAGGAAATGTAGATTTCACCTTCCACGGTAGGTGACCATGCCTCAATCTCAAGGAAGACAAACAAGGATGACAAGCATAGATACGCAATTTTAAGCATGAGCCGGTCATTGGACATGCAATGTTTTTTCTTATGCACGCCTTTACAATGACAGAAAGTTTCTACCTTGCGGATTGCTGATGGGGTGCTTCTATATTTTTATATGGGTTTTCTCTATGTTTGAATCTTGTATTTTTTGAAAACAAATTTATTGAGACTATTTATTTATTTAATTTGATTGAAATATTCTATTTTTAATTTTTTTTCATACTTTCTATTATAACATCATCAATCAATAATCAATACGTGATATTATATAATAAGAAATTCTAAAGAATAAAATTGACGTATCAATCACTAATTAATGACGTTATAACGAAGTATTTGGAGTAAGAAATCTAAAAAAATAAAAAGTTTTTATACTATACGTACGCCATGGAAAGAACTCTTCTGCTACGTTATTTTGTTGGGCTACCTCGTGCAGTAGCGCTGTTTGATGCTTTTTTGCGGAAAGACAAAAACTCAAAGGACAGGAATGTAAGCACGTTACAAGTGTACTGTCGAATGAATTGTCGTTTTCAGTCAATTTCGCAGCTCAACATAGCATGTTTGTGCTCACGAGATAATCCAAAACTATTTAAAAAAACACGAATTTCTTAAAAAACTTTTATTTAATTGTTATATTCTTAATACAGTACTAAGAAGTAAATTCAACCTCACTCTAATTAAGAAAAAAACCACATAAAATATAGGTCATTTTTCAGAATGAATCCTATTGTTTTGTAATTTATGCACCACATAAAATTTTAAATAACATAAGATAAATTACTTAAATCACTCCTAAAATATATAGTATTACATTGGTATTTTATTTTGTATATCAAAACTCTAAAAAAATAAAAAATAAATTATTAAAATTTTAAAATAATTAAATTACATCAAAATTCATCAAATTATTAAATTGAATAATTAGTTAATTTTTTATTTTACTCTTTTTGATGACCACTGATAATATTAAAAAATTCAAGATTTATTAAAAACTAATGTATAAAATTTTTATTCATGTATGTATCGTTAATTTAAATTCATATCACATATAATTAAAAAGGATTATTTAAAATAAAATAAAAATGCATAACAATATATTAAGTGAAAATTTTTAATAATTATTTTTTAAGGGTTATATATATTTTAAAATTTGAAAGATAATTCAATTTTTATCCCTAACATTTATTTAAACCTGGCTAAAAATATAAAAATAATAATAATTTAATTGTAATTAAAAAATTATAAAAAAACTATTTGAAAAGCAATCATGTTAATTTAATAAACATTAAAATTTATACATTTATAAATCATTGTAAACAATATATTAGAAATTAAATAAATTGACATTATAAATTATTTAAATAATATACATGTGAAACGCAATGCCATGGAACTAGTTTATTGAAAAATACTAAAATTTTTCTCGATCGAATTTAGACAAAAGATCCTACTTTTTTCTGTTTTGTGATCGATTACGTAAATGTAAATCCGATTATATAACAGAAAAAAATACTAAAAAGAATTTATTTTGTGTCACAAATAATTCCACATGCTGCCACCATATTGAAGTGAAACAGGCAGACATTCATAAGAGAAAAGTTGGTCTACATAGTGTTTTTGTTTGGTTTGAAGATGAGGGATATTTTCAGATTAATTTGTACATCAATTAAAATTAAATTTTTAATCGATCTTAAAATCTCCCTCGTCATATCGGTACAATGTATTTAGAGAAATAGATTTCTTTGGACTTGGATCTCAAAATTCAAATTCAAAAAGTCAGGAAGAAAATTTTATTTACCACCAAGCCTACTACTTCTTGAGGTTTGGAGGGTAGAATTATACAAGGCTAAATGGTTTAAACCTTTTTTGAATTTTAGTGCATTTAAAAATTAGTCTCCTAACTTCTAATTTCAAGTTTGATCTTTTTTTTTTTTAATTTTATTTTTTAGATTTAGTATATCCTTTAGTTTTTTAGTAAAAAACAATGATCCCATAAAAATCTTGATGATAAAAATTATTTAATGAGATATATCTGTAGCTCTTAAAAAATTTGGAATCATTTATGGGTAGTTTCTATTTTTCTCGATTTTCTATATTTTTAATAGTAAGAAAATAAATAAATATACTTTCCGACTTTGAAAATTTTTGAAATTTTTTCGAAACATGAATTTGATTTTTTTTTCCCAATGTTTGTGTAAAATTTTAGCTCAAAGTAGCAAGAAATGAATTTTTAGAAGGGGTGAGTGAACTTTGAAAATCATAAAATGTGCTAAATTAAAAAAAAAAAATCGGAAGAGATCAAATTTAAAATTTAAAGTTTAATTTTTAAATGAATTAAAGTTGAGAAGAAATTTGACCCATTTAGTCTATTATATGATGATGCAATTAATGTGTAGTAAGAAAGATAACAGAGTTGATTAAACACAAAAAATTGTCAAAAACAATGATATTATTAAAGTGTAGAGAAAACTCACAATTTAAAATTTGATTGATGGGTAATTGATGAGTTGAAAAAACTGACTAAGGGTTAAAAAGAAAAATAAAGAATGATAAATAAGAAGGCAGAATCACAAAACAAATGCAGTATTTACATCTTTTGTAATAAATGGAGGTGGTAATCTGCTAGATAAATGTCAAAAACTTTTTGTTGAAATTAAGGAGGTTGTGAAAAATAAAATTTTATAGCTCCATAATTATTGAGTGCATAACCAAACTTTAAATGAATTTGAGAAATCGATTTAATTTTGATATGAAAAAGTTGGTAGGAGAATGAATACAGAATCAAAATTTTTACATTGATGAGGGTGGAATTGAGATTATCAATTAGTAAAATAGTTAGAAAGAAAATTCTGAAAGAGATATTCCATCGATTGACGCTTGGAATTTTCAACTGGATTCCCGTTTTTCTTATCGGGAAAAGAGAGCAAAAAGAGTTCGTGAAAAAAATCTCAATATCACTAGCGGTACAGCGAGGATCACACCCATGTTCAGGTCACGTTTGCAATACGCGAATAATTTCAATATAAATCGATAAAAATACAAATTTAAATCAATAAAATACAATAAATATATGTTAGTATAGCAATTTGAACGTAAATAAATTTGATTACACATTGAGACTATCACATGTAACGCATATGAACGTTAATTTTTTTTAAGAATATTTTATTTTGAAACTATCATATGTTGTATGCATGATTGTTAATTTTATCAAAAAATAATAGATATTTGCATATATTAGGAAATGAGAATAAATTAAAATTTAACCAAAAAGTGGTATTCCGTTAGTAAGTAATCAGATTCAAAATTCGATTTTTATTATTAACACTCTTAAAAATTTATTTTTAAAATATCTAAAGCAGTGTATTGAAAAATGTCATTTAGTCACGTTTAGAATAGAAATAGTCTTGAAATTCATGAAAATCAATCTAAAAACACATTTGTAGCTGAAAAAAATAATAAAGTAAAATTTATAAGAGATTTTTTTTAATAAAAGAAGATAAGATTGATACATGACGTAATATATCATGATATATTTATTTATGTATCTCTGGTTTTAAGATAGGAATTTAAAGAATTTACCCACTTGCTAACGATGAAGTTTTCAAATTTAGTGGTTCCATTCCAAAGCAGGTTTTTTTTTAACCTTTAAATGTTATCCTGGAGGTACTCCATAAATGGAAGAATAACCTTGTCATGGCAACATTTCAATTTCCCAGAAAGCCTTGCAATACGACAAGGAACAAATAAATAGTAGAAAGCTACCTGAGCCGGTCTGGTATACAGAAGAAAGTACAATAATTGAGAAGAGTTCTGTCATCTTACAATACTTAATGCTATACAACAATATTACGTTTATTGCCAACCATGCATTTCTGTACAAGGTTGGACGCGCCACCCCTCTTCGCGTGCCCAACAAAGCATAAAAAAAAACTTCTCCTTTCATTATTAATTTTCTTTTTCGCAGTTATTTTATTGTTTTAATGTAAGGATTTACTTGGATCTGCTTTTACAATGCACGTACATAATAAATTCTTTTCTTATCAAGGTTGACATAACCTCCTCGGAATCACAAAGTGACTGTCTTTTTTTAACCATTATTACAAAGCCAGCAAATAAACTTATTATCCCTACAGAAATTTTTATAAAGAAAAACCTGTATGCAAATTGACTACATATTATTTGTATAAAATATGAATTACATTGGAGTAGTAAGAAGCTGTATTCCAATATCCACCAAATAACGATGACGAATTGGATACGGACGGTTTGCCTTGGCACCATGAAAAAGAAGTCGGGATTTCATGGAGACCAATCATACGGGCCTTGAAAATGATAAGATAAAAAGGAGAATGAATTCCAACTTTCAAGTTATATCACCATAACTCGAAAGGGAAAAGGAAAAAGAAAAAGAAAAAGAAAAGGGACAGAGAAAAAATAGAAGCAAAAGACAGAGTTAATCAAACTGAACAGCAATCCAACTTTGAACATACATATCTACAAATATGAAAAGTGGTCAACATAAAGGGATCCACAATTGAAAGTTTTTGGTTAATTAATCACAGATCATTTTTTTCTGTGATCAACCCATAAACCAAGCAATCAATTCCCACACTTAAGAGTAACAACAAAACAGTCACAAACAAGAACATTTTTTTGTTCGATTACTTCCAATTCCAACTTCAATTTCAAACACCAATCACAAACAAGAACAACAACAAAAAATCTAATCACAGTCTTTCCATTCGCACCTCCACAAATCCAAATCCCAATTCTCAAATTCAAGCAAGAGTTGAATTCTCAGCGGGAGATGTCCAAACAATGTCCTTCAAGGCTGGTCTCAGCTCTTTACTGCAGAATTGGTTATATTCCAAAGTGTCTCCGTTATCTTTCTTCACCTCCACCACCAAAAACGATGGTGCGACAGCAAAAATGTCAGCTGCAATAGCCAACTTTCCTTTCCTACCCCTCTCCTGCCCTTGCAATCTCACTTTGGAATCACTCTTCTTGACATTGAAATTCCCTGCCTTGGCCACCTCTTCAAGTCTTGAAATGACACTGCTTGCTGGCCTTGTTGTGGCAAATCTCAGCTCCTCTTTCTCCTCCCGCTTCTTCTCCTCAAACAGTGGTGACAAATCAAATCCCTGCGATAGAGATATTATGTGAAACGCGTTTAGGGTTTCAGGTTGCTTTGATTTGTCTCCATTTGCATCTTCTCCATTGAAAGCGTCGAATTCCATCTCTTCTTTGCTTCTGACTGTCTTTGGCACTGATTTCTTGAACCAAGTTGAATCCATGACCTTGGATGTCGTGATTCTAGTGCTTGGATTTGGATCAAGAAGCTTTGTAATCAGTCGTCGAGCTTCAGAAGAGAACCATGGAGGGCATCTGAAGTCACCTCTATAGATCTTCCTATACATAGCCACAATATTATCATCTTGAAATGGCAAGAACCCAGCAAGAAGCACGTAGAGGATAACACCACAAGACCAGATATCGGCTTTAGCACCATCATACCCTTTCTTCCCAATTACTTCAGGTGCAACATAAGCTGGCGTCCCACAAGTTGTATGCAACAACCCATCTTGCTTCAAATGCTCAGAGAAAGCACTCAGCCCAAAATCTGTAACCTTCAACTTCCCATCTTCATCAAGCAGCAAATTTTCAGGCTTCAAATCACGATGATAAACACCGCGACTATGACAAAAATCAATCGCAGAAATCAACTGCTGAAAATAAACTCTCGCCACATCTTCCCTTAACCGACCTTTAGCAATCTTAGAGAACAACTCGCCGCCTCGGACAAGTTCCATGGCGAAATAGATCTTGGACTTGCTAGCCATGACTTCATGTAACTCAACAATATTGGGGTGCTTCACCATCTTCATAACTGAAATTTCTCGCTTGATTTGCTCCATCATACCTACCTTTATCACCTTCTCTTTGCCAACTACCTTCATAGCTACGCTCTTGCCACTTTGCAAATGCCGCGCGTGGTAGACCTTAGCGAAGGTGCCATGGCCTAGTAACCGACCTAGTTCATATTTCCCATGAAGCAGGGTCGGGTGGCCATCACTTACTTTTTCTGCCATCGAAAGAAAACTTTACTAGAAAAAAAATCTGAAGGGTGTACAATCTACAGAGAGATTAAGAGTTTGGAAGGTGAAAACTACAAGATTCAAGAAGGAGAAATGGCTTGAAAAATTATTATGGATCACCCGTCCTCGACGTGTTTTCGGTGGCAGTTTCTGCCGCCGATGGACTTGCACTTCTTGCCGCGGCAAGATAATTCAGGCTTGGTTAACAAAACTCGTCTCATCTCTCTGCATTCCCTAACAAGAATCTCTCGACTATGGTTTGTGTTTTCTGGGAGGAGATTTTTTAAGCTAGCTAGAGAGAAGAAATAAAAAACAGATTTCTTTTCTGATTCTTTCTATCTCTCTCTCTCTCTTTTCTTTTGGGTTCATTGAATGGAGGGCGTGTTTATAGCAGTTTTTGTGGTCCTAATTTACTAATTTGTCCTCAAATGACAGTCACTGTTCATGAGTTCGATCTGACGGTTATAAACATAGTCATTGGGTGGCATGATCCTGACGGCTTTGTTTGGTAGATGTAATCAGTTTTGGACACGTGTTGAGGTTCTATTGGGATTTGATGGGTTGCAGTTTTAAGTTAACGTTATTACCATTGTATCCTTATCTAGGTTTTTTAGGCATAATGGTTAGGTTCTTAATAATTCATAGGTGGACCCCAGTGCGCGTGAATTTTCTTGTCTTTTTAATGGAAAATCATGGTTAGTGATAAGTTATTACGTGGGGTGATATGCTGTGAAGCCGAGTAAATCAGTGAAGAAGGATTTGGTATCATTCAGGATAAGGATATTGGTCGTAAACTTCCCTCATATTTACACTAATTATTCTTTCTTTGTGAGTGTTATAAAATTTCTCAATAATCCGTAGTAAAAACAAATAATAAATAAACTGCATGCCAACAAAACTTGGATTGGTAACTAGTATGTGCCAGAATTTTCTGCCAAACTTTTTTTTTCATTACAAAAAATATTAGCCACTAGTAATAAATTTTCATATAATAACTGTTTTTTATATAAACAGGTTTGATGCACAGATTATGTATGTTAAAGTTTTATTAGATTCAGTAAAATTTGAATTGTGATGATTCAAGCTAATTTCATTACTTTGAAAGAAAATCTTTTATATATATATATATATATATAAAAAGCAGAAAATGGCTAAACATGCAGTGTATTAGGCTGCTGTCATCATGCAGATGCAGTGGACCCTACTGGTTCTCTATTTTGCCAATTGGTGTGCGAAGCGACAAGTCAGAAGCGAAAGATGAAAGTTGAAAGGCTCCCAATCACAGCCCTTACCGACCTGGATCTCTATTCCCTGACTCACCCAACCCTTTTACTGTACTTTGCCTTATATTGCATCATACATACAAATACCTCCACAAAATAATAATAATAATAATAATAATGGACTTTCTGATTCATCTTAATTTTCTGTTCACAATTTCGAATTAATTAGTCGTAAATCTGTTCAATTCATTTGGGGATGATTGCCATTACCACATGTGTTTGTATTATTGGATCAACATTTCAAGGTCAAGAAAGAGCATATGAATTTCAGAAAAATGGAATTTTAAAGAGTATATATATATATTTCAATGTTTTTTGAATAAAAACTTTTATTTTATTTTGCATTTAAATGAAACTTTTTGTTTTTTAAGATTTTTTACTTCAAACTTTTGTTATAATGTTATTACTCAGTACTAGGTACATTACCTCTATTTATCAGAATTTAAAATAAAATATCTTAATCAAATAAAAATTGAAAATCAATATAAAAAATTCAAATAATACAAAATGGAAATTTACAGAGAAAACCTGAATTTTAAACATAATCAATGCCTAAATCATTGGTGCACAATACTCATTAGACCATGTGCTCGCCCTTCCTTTTATCTGGGATGTAATAATTAACTAGCTTTAGATGTACTTGTATTCCATTATCTTTGGAAAATTCAAGTTTTCTCACGGCAAATTCCTTTTCCATCCTGACCTGGGAAGTTCAAATGATTTAAGGAATCTAATTCTTTGTTATTCATGCTTATCCATCCATACACTATCCGGAATTCGTTAAATAATGATCAAATTTAATAAATTATGAATTTTAATTGCTAAATAAAAAGCAAATAGCGACCGTATAATTTAGCAATAGACTAGAGATAGACCGTATAATTTAGCAATAGACTAGAGATAGAATAACGACTATATTATATTTTAGTGATGGACATAAATTCATCGAAATTTGATGGTAAAATCTTCTTGAAAGTTTTAGAGACGGATTAACAACGAATTTGTTAGAAAAATAGTGACGAAATAGCAATTACGTCGCTATTTTCAATGTCTCGATTTAGTGACGGAATGTACTGTTACTAAATGACATATCCCTCGCAATTTAGCAATAGAAAAATTCATTGCCAAAGAGGAGATTTTGAGCAAAATTGAGCAGATTTTTTTAAAGACAAAAAACCATCAAATTGGCAATGAAATAATGACTGATAACGCCAAATTGCAATAGATTGCTAAATGTGAACAAATAGGTGGCCAATTGTTCAAAATTAGGTGCTTATTTTGACAATGATTGGCGATGAACATAAGTGTCCATCACTAAATAACAACGAGATTGCTTCCGTTGTTATTTTTTAGCCCTAATTTAAGCCCCTTCTTCTTCATCCACCCCCATTTTCTTCTCCCTCTCTGAATCTAGCTATTGATGTCGTTCTCCCACCCCATCCAAACTCTTATCCTCCACTATCAAATGATTCACACCTACTTCCAAACGATTCACACCCACTTAAAGGTCTTTTTTTTTCAAAACTCTCTGTTTTTTTTTCTTCCCTCCTCTTGATGTAATTCCAACTAAATTAGGCATATTTTTCTCTTTTTATTTTTAATTAAAACTAATAATTTATTGTAATTGTTAGGTTAATTTAAGTTAATTACTTGACTTATGATTGTTTATATATTTAATTATTATTTTATTGATTTATTTGTTAAATTGTTAATTCTTGTTGGGTTAATTGGTTGGTTAATTTGTTAAATTTGATTAATTGTTAGATTAATTAATCAATTAATTATAATTTAAATTTAATCGAATTGTTTTTAATTAATCAAGTTAATTTTATTTAAATTTACTTAATTAATTATGTTAATTATATGTTTATTTGGTTCAATTAGACTAAATTTATTTATTAATTGTAATTTTGTTAATTAATTTTTAAATTTTTCTTAATTAAGTTAATTTAATTGTTATTTTAAATTTAGTTTGGTTAGAATTAGAATTAATTAAGTTAATTAGATTTATATTTAGTTAATTAATTAGGCTAATTATGTTTAATTAGTTGAATTACAAGTTTATTTATATTAGAAATTATTAATTAAATGTTAATTTTTTTTATAATTATAATTATTAAGTTAATTATATTTATAATTAATTAATTAATTAGTTTAATTTTGTTTAATTGGTTGAATTAATACTTTATTTATATTAGAAATTGTTAATTAATTTTATATAAAATTTAATTTGGTTAGAATTAGAATTAATTAAGTTAATTTGATTTTTATTTAATTGGTTAATTTTGTTTAATTGGTTGAATTGAAACTTTATTTATATTAGAAATTTTTAATTAATTGCTATATAAAATTTAATTTGGTTAGAATTATAATTAATTAAGTTAATTTGATTTTTTAATTAATTAATTAGGTTAATTTTGTTTAATTGGTTGGATTAAAAATTTATTTATATTAGAAATTGTTAATTAATTGTTATATAAAATTTAATTTGGTTAGAATCAAAATTAATTAATCTAATTTGATTTTTAATTAATTAATTAGGCTAATTTTATTTAATTAGTTAAATTAAACTTTATTATATAAGAAAATTTTAATTAATTTTTATTTTAAATTTAATTTGGTTATAATTAAAATTAATTGAGTTAATTAAATTTATATTTAATTAATGAATTCGATTAATTTTGTTTAATTGGTTTAATTAAAACTTTATTTAAATTAAAGTACGATAATCGGATCAAAGGGATGGAGGCTACTATCTAGCAACAAGCCAGTCAAGTTACTAGCTTCCAAACTCTGTTGTAGAGAGTTGTGGGGTTTTTAGTGAACCTCCAGCTGCTTCCGGTCTCTCCAACCGACTCTCCCATAACCTGGCAGTCAGTTGTTCCTCGTAATGACTTAGCGTACGAAAGATAATACAAGAGAGGATGATAACAAAGACTAAAGTTCTTATTTTTAATTTTTAAAAAAATATTTTTATACATCTTAACACATCTATATATTTATTTTAATTTAATTTTATTTAATAATAAAAATATTTTAATAATTTTTTTAATTTGTTTATTATTACAATTACCAATAAATGACAATTGATTTTTTAAAAAAATTACGACGAATTTAGCAACAGAATAGAGAGGGTAATTAACGACGGATACATATATAGTTGCTAAATAACAATGGAACTAGCGACGAATTGCGAGGATATTAGAAACTAAAATATAACCACAACATATTCCGTCGCTATTTAGTACGGATGTAAGTAAAAATAGCGACAATTAGCGATATATATGAAAGGTAACGAACGACCGATTTAGATCGATTTTGTGATGAAAATTCAATAAAATAACGACCGTAAAAAAGTTCGATCGCTACAAAATAGAAATCACCATTTTAGCGACGGATCACAACAATATGTAATCCGTCACTAATTTCATCTATTGACGGAAAAATTCATTGCCATTTAGCAATTTTTTTGTAGTGACAGAAACTATAGTTTCTCATTTTATTTATAAGATTGAGTCAAGTTCTATTTGGTATATTTTTGTAAATTGATTTTAAATTATTTTTTTATTAAAAAAATTATAAATATGTTGAATACCTTTTGAATTTAATTAAAAAATTGTTACAAAATTAAATCAAAATTATTTTTATTTTGTCAAGTATAATTCTAACTCAACTCATTTTATTATGAGTTATTTTTAAAAAATAACTTTT